GCCAGCTACACCATGTGTACATTAAAAATTAATATTTTTCCAATTAACACCGCCAATCGACCGTATGATTGATGATTTTCATGTGGACTGTTGTCAGCCAGTACCTAGGAAACAAAAAAATAGATTTTGTTGTAAAAAATACCCTTCCTTGTCTTGTTATCGCCGTCTAACACACAACCACGCGAACCGTTTAAATGTGAATCTGTAATTAGTGATGATGACAAAACCGGAACTCTATAAACAGAAACAACCGGTTTCTCTCTTATTTTAGTTTATGGATAATAAAAAAAAAAACTTTTTATGCAGATTTTGTTCTCTTTGGAAGGAGAGAACCCAACAACGACAAATTATTTATTGTTAAATAATTTAAATTCAATACAGCTTTGAAGAAGAATTATTGCTGAGTTAGAACTGACTAGGTTTTATTACTCCTTCAGAGAATGCTTAACCAAATCCTTGATCATACCTGAAAGGATAATTTTTAGGCAATATTTTCTCTCCCAAATTAAAAATCATTCAAAATATAATTGGATTTGTTTACCATATGAAACATTTATATAGTTAATTATACCGAAATCTGAAGTAAAATCTTTATCTGTACAAAAAAATCTATCAAAAATGTTGGCATCGTTTGGGTGGTTCTAATATGAACCCAGCGACTCTGATTAGACACATAACCTCGATATTATTCATTCAGCAGTGTTTTCTTCTGAGGTATTCTCAGAACTTCTCTTTATTCTCATTTAAGTGCTGATCCAATTGTTGATAACCCCCATTTATATTGGCTCAAGTAGTTCTGAAAAAGCATCGTGTTATGATTTGTGGACAATAGATTGCAGAACCCAATGCGGATTAGTTCAAATTTTTAATCCTCTAGGTTATTGGTCTGTTACCGTTCGGCAAGAATCTACAACTTTTTACTGCGATAAAGAAATTTTCCTTTATGATATCGAAGAAAATAGTAAAATCTGCTGTACGGGAACAGACCATACATAAATAGTTTCATTTTTTATTAAAAATATAATAGATCATTGCAAAAATATGAATTTTAAATATAACAGGTACCGTTTTCATTAAAATTTGCTACGATTTTAATAAAAAAATCATAAGAAATAATGTATCTTCACGGACTTTAGAGTCAAACAATCTAGATTATAGAATACGCAGTGGGTTGTGAAAAGTAGTCCAGATTTTGGGATAATTAGGATTAGCATCGTCCGGATTATCGAGATTTTACTATATTTCAATTCGAATTGTTTATTGTTTGAATTTTATAAACAATTCTATATTTTACAATGACAACAACAACATTTATTTTTTATTTATTTTTTTGAATGCATGGCATTGCATAGTTGTATTTGGATTTTTGAAATGAGACTACCTTTATTATTTTGAGATGAGTGAATATTTACAAATGTAATTTTCAAAATTACAAGTGAACTATTTTCAGTTAGAATAGAAATTATCGAATGTTAAGTCAGTTCTTTCAGATAACATCAAAACTTTTTCGAATAGCATCTAAAAAATGTATAGACATTTTTTTCTTCCTATTTAATTGTTATTTTCTAGTTTAAATTGTGCAAAACTTGTATTTTTTATGGCATCAGAAATTAAAAAATATGTATTGAGACGAAGTCAGTCTATTGACGCTTCAGGATTAGTGGAAGGTCTCAACATTGACCTGTGCTATTATGTCAAAGAAAATTTCCATAAGAAACTGAGAAGAACACCCTTCTCCGCTTCAAAAATATATTTTATTATTTTATTTCCTACCATTTCTCAAGCCAGTGCTTTTCAAACTTTAAAAGCGTTTTTCCATACAGTGTTTTTATTTTTCATTTTAACACGTTATTTTGGACCTACATTGTATTAACTAGGATAAATTGAATCGGTGAAGATCTTTCCTATTTTCCAGCTTGGCTTTTGATGGAAAATATGCGATTTTCGATTTTCCTAGGTCACCCAATTTGCTAATTTTCGAGCGAAGTTCATGCCAGAGCCAGATATGTAGGCTCTCTCATAAAGCCACTTCCGACTCTGGTCATTTTGAGCCATAGTAACACCGTGCATTTTAGAATACAATCGAAAAATATATATTTCGTGTCGTCGACAACACAACACTCCTGATAAGATTATATGATAATATTTCTCTTATCTGTACATTGTAAATTTATTTAAAAATCTTCCCATTGTGCAGTGGCTCTAAAAACACGCCGCGTCTTATCGTCGTTTTTTTTTTCTTCATTTTTTTCAAGTAAACATTAATTATGGAAATGGTCGTAAAACTAGTTTTCATTTTCCCCTAAATGAAAGGGAAAATCTCATTTCACAAATTTTGTTGTTTGTTCTTATATGTTATCTTTCATAGCAATGTTCTATGTTTAGAAAACAGAAGAAAAGAAAAACTAAAAGTAAAACAAATCATTAATTCGTTCTTCATATAGCCAAACACACATGCACACTCATATATGTACATACATTCATACCAACAATTCTGGTTACCTAGAAAACACAACATGCACGCGAGGCTTAGAACAAAGAGAGAGTGAGAGTAGTTCTGATAAACAGTGATGCCAACGTGATTGGGAAAATAAAACGTCATTTTGAAAATAAAAAAATTTGTATTTTTCAAAAAATAAAACACAGAGATTGCTCTTATGAAAATAAAATTAACAAATGAAAGTTTTTTTTTATTTTCTTATTCAAATAACAACATTTAAGAATAATATCTATATGTTGTGAATTATTTATTTTGTACGTATCTTCAAAGGCTCTCGAAATAGAGAAAAAAACACGTGATAACCATAGAGTGTTATTACATGACACCCCATTGAAGGACTTTGTATAAACACATGTTTTTAGATAAGGATTCCCAAGAAAACATCTGACAAACATATTACGATTTTTTTAATATTTGAAACACAGAAGTTTGGAATTTTATTAGAAATCCCCTGGTCAGTGGTATAGGATATTTGAGTGATGTTTTGGCAATAAAATGAAATATGAAACGGCAACATTTTTCAAAAATAACAGAATCATCGGACACCGAATCAGTATCAATTATTAAGAAAAATACGAGTACTCCTGTTGTACATACTTGTATACATATCTTCATACATAATTATTGATTATTTTTAATTGTTCCTATTTGTGTGAATCTCTGAATAGTAGGTGGGTAGATAATTCACTCAATAGCGGCGATGTATTTCTTTTCTTTGTCAACATCTCAAAACTTGAAATAATTGTGTCGTGATATTTTCAATTTTATGTGTGATGTGTACCAACAAACCAACCAATCCAGCGATCCGACCAACTTTGTGTGGATGTTGGGGTGGCTAACAGCAGCTCTGGCTTAAATCATGACGAAAAACAACACTCACACAATCGCGCAATATTATTCAGGCACACGCAAAATTCCCAACATTACCGGATTTACTTTAAGCAATACTTGAACCAAACTCGTCATTATAGCTTCAAAGCTAAAGGTTGTCTTGCAACAACAACAACAACAGCAGCAGCAGAAATAAAATTGGTTAAAATTTCTTGCTCCTCTACTGTAAATGGATTCCATTCTCAACCTTTTATGGATGATGGTGTTAAAGACAGACGAACAGACAGACCGCGGAGAGTGATATAGAGGGAGGAAGAGAGAATGATATTGGTGGGGGTTGTACTGTTGTTGTTAATTCATAGGACAATAATGACGATCGTCATCGGCTTGACTGAAAATTCGTTGGTTTGTTGGTCGCGAACGGTATGGCAAGGCAACATGAGTAGGGTAATGTTTACGACCATCACATGTTGACGACAGCAGCGGCGCGACGCAGCGCAACGCTTCGACGTCGAAACAATGATGTGCGTGTTTTTTTGTGTTTGATGGACGGGTTTTTACGTAGATTTTGTTGTTTTTGGTGAATGTATTGGTGGTTTGAACTTGAGCTCTATACATAATTGGTATGTTGCATAACATTATTACAGCATCGACAAAACAAGTCGGTTTGACAGACAGACAGTCAGTCAATGCGCCGACCAGCCAGCCAAACAGTCGAACGAGCGAGCAAGCGAACAAACAACCAAACGACTCAACAATAACCAACGAATAGAGCGTCGAGCACGGCAACAGGTAATTTATTTATTTGTGTTGTTGGTGGCGTTGTTGTTGTTGTTGTGAGACTAAGAGAAAAGAGGAAGAAGAAGAAGAAGCAGTCTTGTTTATTTGTTTCTTTGTGCTGGATTGTGGATGGTGGTGGATGGATTATCATCATCATTGACAACAACAACTACAACAAAAACAGTAACAAACGGCTAACAAAACAAATGAGAGTGATCGCGAAGTGGTGAGGAGTGTTTGACATCATTGTTGTTGTTGTTGTTACAAATGTAGGATTTCGTGAATTTGGGTTTTTGCCATCTTCTTTTTGTATGTTGTTGGTTCGATGTTTGGTTGCTGCTTTACTGTTGTTTTGTTGTTGTTGTTTGGGTTTCTTTGCATTGTAGCGATCCGGCTTCACTGAACTACCAGTGAGTTCGCTCATTTGTTATGAGATTGTTGTGCTATTAGGAGCTCTTGTTTTTCCCTCGCCTTCAAAGTGCTGCCTGTCGTCCGTTTCGTTTTTGTGTGTGTGTTCCGTCGAAATTGTAAATTCGAATTTGTGGTGCCCCGTTATATCGATTTAATTTCAATTCTTTTTCCTTTTTGTTTTTTAACGAAAAAAAGAAAAATAGAATACGATTTTATAAAGTGCTATAATTTACTCGTATTTTTACAGGCAATCAATAATTTAGTGTTGTTGTTGAATTCCATGAACCAGAAACGGTTGTTACAAAAAAATCACAATGCCACCTAATCAGAATGTAGGAAATTCGTAATTTAAAATAAAATCAAAAGCAATAATGTGAAATAAATAAATAATTTTCATAATTAAAAATTTGTATACTAATAAAATTCCGTTTCTTTTTTTTTTTGTGTGTGTGTGCGTGTGTTGTTATATTATTTACAGAACAAAAGCATCGATAAACCACTACAGAATCATCATTTATCCAATGGACACATAAATGGCGGCAGCTCAATAACCGAACTCAACATCATGGATATTACCTGTTCGAATAACTCTTCCATGGATCACATGGACCAAATGGATCAATTGCAATTACAACATAATACCACCAATACAATTCCCACCGCTAGCCAAACGAATGCACAAACAAAGGCGCTCAATCATCCGACATATCGTTTGCATGCAGCCTTGACGCGTACCATATCTACGCCACAGCCGCAAATTAAGCCAACAGCAGCAGCATCAGCACATCATCTAAATCAAATGCAACAACAGCAGCAACAACAACTACAACAGTCACAACAGGATCCAAATGTAGCCGCATTAGTAAATACTCTCATTGAGACAATGGGCAATGTTAATTTGCATCGGAAATTGGAAAGAACACAATCGGAACCATTGCCACAACAACAAGTGAATGCATCAAGGTAAGTGATGAAATGCATATAATAAAACAGATTTAATAATATTCGGAAACTATGTTGAAATGATGTAGTACAGATCGTAAAGGTATCACCGAAGCAATGTTAGGTTAAAGGATGTACAGCCGCTGTTAGCGGCCATATCACTTGGAAATATTGTCCACTGTGCTCATCCTAGGTACCTTAAAAAATGGAAAAGAAAAAAAGCGGGGATAGTAGTTAGCAGAGTATATAATTTTAATCAATTTAACGATGACATTTCATTTCAAAGCTAAAGATCTTCATGGGGCCTATTCCGGAAAAGAATACCATAGTATCAATTTCATATTTACCAAACAGTCGATGTCTTCTGCTAATTGGCGATGGACATCTACAGAGTATATGTTCAAACGTTTACAGTTCTTTCTCATCCTCGCATAGACGGCAATAATACGCTTCAATAATGCCCCATTTTGAATTGAGTGATCAAATCCTGAATCCTGATCATCAGTTTATCTGAGTTATTTATAGATAATTCCTGCACCAAGGCCTTCCCGTCTGTATATATAGACAGACCATACAGTTAGGTAGTATCCACAGATTTGCCTTTGATGTAGGCGTGTTTGGATTTGCTAATATCTTTGTGTAAAATTTCTGGAATTCCTAATTTCGAGGTGTAGTAACCTTTTTAGTGTCTTGAGCAGAAGGAAGAAATGCTAATCGGTCCATAGTTCTTAGGCAGCGTGAGACTCGGCTTCCCGGTTTTTTGATGAAGATCACAGTTACCTCTTTTCATATACCTACTAGGTATGTATGATAAAAGCGGACAAGTCCCAAAAATGCATGTTGCAATATGACCATCAGGCCCAAGGGAATTGGTAGGGTTGAAACCTATTTATTGTCCATACCAGTTTTGGGTAGCTTATCTTATCGAACCATATGTAGACGTGTATGTTCCACATCGTCATTTTGATCCATACAACCAGGGAAGAGGGTCAATGATAGAAGATCAAGAGTCTATCTTTCGAGTTTGTCCACGTTCCACCAATTCGCTTCATATTTCCTATAGATTTGGGATCTTCGCTTAATTCACTAAGACAAACTTCATACTTACGTATAGCCTTCTTGATTTTACTTTTGTACCTATTGAATTGTTCTCTTTAGACGTACTATGTTTCTTACTAGTTTTGTTGAAAGCTTTTTGAGCAGACTTTCCCAAGGATGCTAGATCATGTTAAAAGACAATAAGCCTTATAGCACCGCAGATGTGTTCATGTGACCTCTTCACAGTTTCTCAACATCCTCAAACGTTTTGAGATCATAGGCACTCGGTTAGTTTAAAGCAGCTACCTAATGAATAATATTGGGCTTTCCACTGTTTGCAACCAATGAACGCGTCCGTTAGCATTCAGAGGAAAAATGTTTATGCCCTCAAAAAAAATTATGCAAAAATTAGTAATTTGGATATCTTTTTTATGAATTTATAATAGTAAATATATTAAACGAGAATGATTTTTTAGCACATTTGACGTATGCTATGCAACAAAATCGAGCTCAGATCTGGGGGTGTAGAAAATTCCCTTTGAAGATGAAAGCACTTGGGGACGGATTGGGATGGATTTTTTCTGGTAACTCTGAAGATCGTGACGATAAAGCTTTATATTTTTGTTTGTGGCTATTGCAAGGTTATTTTAGAAATGACAAGTCTTCAGTCAAATCAAATGACGTGTTTTTTTCCCGACATACATAAATTCCTGTTTTCTTCAAAATGTACAATTTATTAGTGTTTGACCGTTTGGTCCCCTTTGGCATATATAAAATGGAATTGAAAATTTAAACCCACTGGGTTAATGAAATCCGCTACTATTATCTCGAGCTTCTATATTTGAAAATATTTTATACTAATCCTGGGGTAAACTGATACATGACACACTGTATATATTTCATAATTTGTCAATTGTAATTAAATACTACCAACCAAGGTAGATATATAAGGTAGCCGCATCGGCGAATTGGGAATATGATATGTCAAAATTGCTAACAAGGCGAATAATAATAATTTCGCCTTGACGTAAAAAACTCGAAGCAAATTAACTTCCACCAATCAAAATTTTGAAAAATAAAAATTATTTGTTTATTTTTTGAATATTTTAATAATTGTAAATGTTTGTGTAAATATCAGATTTTTGTATTAAAGATTACATCAGAAGAATGCAAGAATGTTGGTGCCATCGGGTGTATAAAGAGATAACAAGATTTGGACCATTTTTCCGTAGTGTTTTTATCTCCTCACATAAAATTTGAAAAAACAGTAACATACAGAGAAGATAAAAAGGTCCCATCTGACCAAATCTATTTTGATCCCAAAGTCTTGTTTTCGATTCCATTGACTTCCTATAAAAGTCTCATCTCGTTAGAGTCTCTACCGCTAGAGTCTCTACCGCTATGCCATTTTTTAACCGTTGTTTTTCGTTATTTGTAAATTTATTTCAATTCTTATTTGGAAATGGATTTGAAAAAAACCAACAACAAATTGTTATGACATAGAATGTTACCATTAGCTGGTTTGAGACGGTTACCTTCTTAATATACCTTGCTACCAACCAATGTTTATTCATAAGGTTAAAAAGGAGGCGAATTCGAAGTCTTCATTGACTGTCAAATTTATTGTTTGAAGAATAAATAAACAAAAAATATTTTTATTCGAACAAAAATATATGTATGTGCACATTACTATCATTACGTTTTATTGAAATATATTTTGAGATTTTATCCTGTTCTGGTTGTTATTTCGCGATTAAAAAGTTGGCAGACCAAACCTTTATTTATGTTTATAAAGGATTCAAAACAAAAATAAATGACATTTTTTACAAAACCAAGGTGTTTGGTCGTAAGTCGCTCGAATTCGTTCGTTTGGAATTTTACAAAAACAGGCTGTAAGCCATGAATTTGCCAGCCGGTTAACTTTATTAATAAACCTTGCTACCAACAGTGCAGTTCATTCCATTTTGGAAACTTATTGTCCTTATTTCACCAGCTAGATGAGGAAGATATCAGTACAAATAATCAGGTCAAATGCAGCAAATAATTATTGTTATTATTGGAAAAAAATTGTGATAAGATTTGATGATGAAACGTGAATGAAATGTGTTCACTACAAACCAACAAAAACATACGAAAAGTCATGCATTCAGAAAAACTTTTTTTCATTTATCATAATGTAGTACGTTATACTGTAATTAATTATTTATTTTTTCTTATTCCTTTTTTTTATAATAGGTACAAAACTGAACTTTGTCGCCCCTTTGAAGAAGCAGGCGAATGCAAGTATGGTGAAAAGTGCCAATTTGCCCATGGCTATCATGAACTTCGCAACTTGCAAAGACATCCCAAATACAAAACGGAATATTGTCGTACTTTCCACAGTGTTGGCTTTTGTCCATATGGACCACGCTGTCACTTTGTACACAATGCTGATGAAGCCCGTGCCCTGCAACAGCAGCAGCAACAACAACAACAACAGCAGCAGCAACAATTTCAACAACAAACTAAACTACAAAATCATTCCAATTATTTGAGCAATTATCCGTTGAGTGGCAAATCTAGTCTCAATGGAACTGGAGGCAATATCAATCATTCCCTACCACTGAGTCCACCCTTGAGTATGTCGACTGGATCTGATCGCGAATCACCTACTGGATCATTGTCTCTGTCGCCCACAAGTTCCATGACAAATTTTCCATTTGGTGAACAGATTAGTCCATCTAATTCCGTCTTCCAAACGGCCTTCAGTTATGTAAATACACCACCCGAGAGTCCCAATGCACCCATGTCTCCAGTGAATACACCACCACCCACCCTAATGCTGGGTCAGGCTCCCATTTACATTAAACCCTTGGTGGCCAATAACAATGGTGGTGGACAACCGGCAGCACCCTGCAAGCAGTTGTTGCAGAAGAGCTCCAGTTCTCCCATAGCAATTATTAGGAATGTTGGCGGTGGTGCCAGTAAAACTCCAACCAAAGTTAACTCTGTGTCATCGTTGAATGGTGCTGTGGCAGCCGATGAGGCACGTTTACCTGTGTTCAATCGCATTAGCTCTGTAGCAGATACATTCTCCCATATAGCTTTATAAATTCTTCTTCAATATCTATATTTATATATATATATATACATATATGATCTGTCTATCATTATTATAATCATAATTATTATTAGTGGTAGTAGTAATAGTTTAAATTGATAACTAAAAAAACAATACCAGCGTAACAACGTAAGACAAATGCAAAGCATACGAACAAGAATAGCAACACCAGCAAAACAACAGCCCTGCATGTGTTGGCTAGCGTCGCTTACGTTGAAAGGCAATAATAGACAACTGAAACTGAACACAAATCCTTCCCCCCACCCATCATAAATTACAAAATCTCAATATAATTATTTGTCCTATATGCACAAAATTGTTTCCTTCTTCCACAAAAATATCGTTATTCAAAAAATGTTTTTAAATTAAATATTTATAAATTATTTGCATATCATATTAATTACATAAACTCGCGCATAATTTACATTGAAAACAAAAATGAATCCATAAACCCATTTAACATATTTACTACTATACATTTTCCTGACCCTTTCTTCTTTATTTTTATATATATTTTTTATACATGTCTTGCTCTATATATAACGATATGCATATATTTTTAAATTGTTATTTATATACAAATATTTTTTTATTTAAAATTATACACCCAAAAGACAGCAAAAAACTTAGCCACAACGCCGCAGCATAACGACATATAAATAATAGCATCAGAGACGTTGCATTGACTAGACCTTTACAAGACAAATGAAAATCAATATTTACAAACAAAAACACAAATTCTATACATAAATTACATATGTAAAACGAGACAGAAATCAATCGACCAATCTACATACCATACCATTACTAAATTAAAATTATTAAAATATGATTATTTAAAACAAAACTACAAGAAAAAATATCTCAAAATATCCGAAACAAGAAAAAACAAACACTACTATTATTACTTTATATATATTTACATACTATTATTATTTATAATTTATATATATATATTTAATTTTACACTCGATTATCCATAATAGTGGGTATGACTTTTTTGAGAACTTTTTTATTATTATTATATACATTTATAAACAATTTATTATTATTTTTATTTAAAGAAATTGATACAAATTTAATGTAAATGTAAATTTTTTCTTCTGGCTGGGTTGCTTTATGATCTAAACGATGTAAAAACAAAACTAAACAAAAAAATATTGTTTGCATTTATTAAAATTAATCTTTTTTATTTATTTTTTCTTCCTTTAATTTATATGAAACTTAGACAAACAAAATTTGTAAGAAAAAGACATTTAAAAAAGACCAGAGAATATAAGATCTTTTTATAACAAAACATTGCACACACATTTATATACACTTAAGATACATTAGATGTTTTCAATTTCAAATTTATAAAAGAAAAAAAAACAATTTTTAAAATAAGCAAAGGAGTGATATTTTTCAAAATATATACAAACATAATATATAAAAAAATACATATTTAATTTTTAACTCAACAAACAAACATCGATAGTTGAAAAATATTAAAAGTGAACACAAGAGAGGTTGTTACAATTATTAAATTACAATACACATGTGTGTGTGTCGTCAAATTGTGCCAACATTTCACAAAATGGAAACAACAACAACAAACAACATCCTTTCTCTGAAAAGCTAGGAAACATCTAAAATCACGTACAAATGACACTTACATTGCTACTCATATATCTGGTATGCTGTAAACATGATGTGCAAACGATAATCATTACAATGCAATTTCCAATTGAAATTGACCTTGCAAGAAATATTGTTTTGTAATTTGTCATAATATATACATACATACATATGTACATGAATATGCCTTTTTTACACATACCTTAATAATAGAAGTAATATTTATGTATATTTAAATACCTCTGAGACACATTATATTCAGTTTTGTTTGTTTATAAAAATATATGATTTAAAATGATTATTTTAATAACTTATTTTTCAACTGTTATGAATTGATAACTTTAAACTTGTCCAAATCTATTTTTTGCTAACATACAAAAGAAATTAAAAAAAAGAAAACATTGGGTTCTTGGAAAGCAGGCAGAAAAAGAGGATTTGTACAGCTTTGCATTTCCCTTTCTCTCTCTGTCGCCCTCTTATAACCACAAATGTTTAAAATGCTTTGATTTGGACTTGGATGTAGTTTGAAATTCATTAGGTGCGTGCAGAGTCACTTTGTTTAGTACTTTTATTTTACTTTCCCAAAATTCAATCCAAATTTATCTGTGAATTTTAAATTATTTGAAAAAAAAAACTGAAGACATCGTAACAACTAAAAAAAATAAATAAATTATGAAGTCTAAAAAACACCTAACTTAAAGCCTTATATTTAAATATCAGAATAAATTATTTAATTTTTTTCATACATATTATAAATAATACAAATCATACACAACACTCTATCATACATATAAATATGGATGTTATTATTATAAAAAACAAAAATTTAGAATAAAATTACAATGGCAATTATTTACAAGAAGATAATGAACGCGAAGAATATACTTTTTATTTTGTTTTATTTTTTTCTCTACACTTTTTTTATTTATAATGAAATTGAATGTTTTTATTTTTGTTTATTTTTTATTATGTTTTGAAAAATGTTTTATTTTCTTTCCTTATATTCTCTTGAACTATGACCAACAATTTAGTTTAACATTAATAATGCATTATTAATATTTATTTTTTTAACTTTGATTGTACCATAATAAGAACACATGATCCCTCAAATATACGAATATATAATAACAAGTAAACATATAAAAATTGAAAAGAAAAGAGAAAAGAAAACAAATTGTCATTGAAAAAAATTCTCAAGTGCCTTAATAATGTTTTATTTTTTATTATTATTATCATTATTATTATTAACTATTTATATTTGTAATTTAATTTCATTGGTTTAATTGAATATTATTTTGTTTTTATTTTTACAATATATCTTTTTTAGTTATTTAAATGGATTTAGTCTTCCCCTCCTTTAATTTTTATTATTATAATTCTAATTTATATATTTGTATTTTCTACACATTGTTTATTTTTTTTTTTTTACATAGTAAATGCCAGTTCGCATAAGACACTATGAGTTTACTATGGCCTGTTTAAAATAGAAATTTAAACAAAACAAAACGAACTATGCTTCCATTTTACATATGTTTACAAATAAAAAAAACCCGAAACAATGAAACACACTCGTGCTTTTGAATAAAATTTACTTATTTTCTTATAAAAAAATAAATGTTGTTTTTTATTGATTAATGGGAAAGGTAAAATAGTGTTATTTATTAAGAGTTATGTATCAAATGTAATAACATAATCCTGTGGGTCTACTGCAACTCCCATCATTTGAGGAGAAGGATTGATGATCTACTATGACATAAAATTTAGACATAAAACATTCATACGTCGCACAATGGTTTTAAATTGTTTTGTTGTAGTTACAATTCTGTAAGTTTTTAAAACAGACAAAAATATTTTAATAATACCAGTTTATTCTACAGGTAATATAACCAGTTTTCCGGAAACTAAAACCATTAAATTTAGTTCAGTAGTTTCTGAGGCAGCTGAGAATCACCATATTCTAAACTAAGGGGACCCCCTATTCTCGTTGTAAAAATTTTTTTTTATTTAATTCGAATCTACTCTATTTCTAGAATGTCCCTACAAAATTTCAAGTGAAAATCTCAAGAACTCTTGAAGATATAGCCGATTTATTGTGTCAGCATCAAGTGACGGCAAGAGTGATTCTCAAACTTTAAACTCATTTTTCTCGAAGCAGTGTTTTACGAGTGGCGGGCACGATAACTCAAAAACTAGTAATCCAATCGGTTCCAAATGTTGACACGTTTCTCTGGGAGTGTATAGCTGTCGTATGAACTAGGATAAAGCCAATCGGTAAGATCTTCCTTATTTTTTAACTTAGTTTTTTGTCAAAAATAGGCGATTTTCCAAAAAAAAATCTAAGTTCCGTTATTTTGTTAATTGTTGCGCGAAGTCAATAATCCAAGTTCATACCGTTGGAATTTTCGGATTCCGATGTTCCAGAGAGGAGTTATCATGCCCGCCATCAAAAATAAGTACTTTTCTTTGATCACAACAAAAATGTTTCTTCAATTTTAAATCTTCAAATATATATGTACAGAGTTACAAACCTTAACAAGCATCCCTGCAAGCATTTCGAAGTGAGTTTCTAACTCCATCTTCAAATAATTATCTACTTCGACACTTATTTTTTGTAAAAGGGTGATATAGTACGTTTACATTGTACCGGATTCCGGTAACCCAGTGGGTTTCAATTGTCAATTCCATTGTATACATGTCAAATAAATCCTCATAAAGTAGATTAACCCGGTAAAAAGTTCTAATGTAAATGCGGTTATACTTCGTAATTTTACAATAACAAATGAATTGTTATCCAATTTCGATCGTCTGTAGTAACTACATAATTAAATGAAAGAACATGGAAATTCGATAGTTTCATAATTTAACTGTCGTTCTATAAATATTTGTCATCGAATAAAAATTTGTGTATAATACTACATTTTCATTATAAAAAATCTTCGGCCTGAAACCTTTTACATTGCTGTATCATATAATATAGAGAGTCGCGGAAAAATATAATTCACGTGTAAAGTAGATTTAAGGTCATGGATGTGTAACTCTTTGGTTATATGTACAAGTAAAGAAGTATCATTTGGCACATTCATCATTCAAAGCAAACATGATCTCTACATCAAAAAAGGCAATTGAATTGAGAAGCAAGAGGGAGGCATCTGGATTATTTTCAACCTTTTTCCCAAAGTCAACAGAATGCAACATCCACCACAAAAGGTAATGCGTATTGAGCAAATTAGAACATCAGAAGGCGATGATATAAGTGTTTTTGAACTTGATGATTTTAATGTGAATGACAGTTTAGGTACACGTATTCATTATTTAACATTTACATAAATTTAAATAAATAAATTATAAAACTATCGGAATTTATTAATTAATAACAGAAATTA